TGGTTGTGGTGACAGTTGCAAAAAAACACTTTGCTATTACTGATTTGTTCGATATGGTTTCTACATTGCTGAATGTGGTTGGAGGTTCTTGTCAGCGACAAGATATGATTCGAGAAATTCAGCGTAGAGATCTTGAGAAAAGAATCAGTGATGGTGATGTCAAAACTGGAACATGACAGAATCAGGAATTTTCTTTTCCAAGACCAGCAAATACTCGTTACAAAACATTTCTGTAATTGCTAGAACTGTTTTCTACAATCATTCAAGTTCTTGATTATATCGATGGTGAAGACATTAAAACTTTACAGAAACGTCAAGCATGTGGTTTTCTTAAGTACTTTCACACATTTAATTGTGTGTTCTACTTGCACCTAATGCTGCTTATTTTGGGGATCACTGAGAACTTGTCAATGGCTTTGCAACAGAAAGATCAAGATATTTTAAATGCCATATCACTTGTAGAATCCACTAAAAGAGAACTACAGAAGATTAGAGATGATGGATAAGATTCTTTTATGAATAAAGTTTATGTTTTTTGTGAGAAATATAATGCTCAAATATTCATCATGGAAGAAGATTTTGATGATCCAAGGAAGCCAAGAAAGAGAACCAACATAACCAATATGCATCATTATAACGGCAATTGCTTTTATACTATTCTGGACTTGCAGATTCAAGAGTTCAATGATCGTTTTACAGAGGAAAACACTGATCTACTTATATGTATGGCTTCTTTAATCCATATTGATTCATTCCATGGGTTTGACAAGGAGAAGTTGTTGAGGTTAGCTAAGTTTTATCCAGATGATTTTAGCTATGGTGAGCTTTTATCTCTTGAGCAGCAACTTGATATCTACATCGACAATATACGCTGAGATGAACAGGTTAAGAGTGTGGAGAATCTGGGAGATCTGTCATGTCTAATGGTAAAAACGAAAACATATTCCACATCCTTTGGTTTACAGGCTTCTAAAGTTGTTTTAACTTTGCTGGTTGCCACTGCAGCTGTAGAAAGGTGTTTTTCTGCAATGAAACTAGTGAAGATAGCTGGGTGCAACTGAATTGGAGATCACTTTCTAAGGAGGTGTTATTGGTTCTTGTATTTTAATGGATTTGATAATCCAAACCAAATTCAGTGTTATTGGTTCTTGTATTTTAAAATCTATATTGAAATACAGTGTTATCGGTTCTATGATTTTAAAATCCATAATAAAATACAGTGTTATTGGTTCCATCATTTTCAAATCTAAATATTATAAAGATTTGAGTTTTAATTGAATTTGAATGGATTTGGAAGGATTTTCATGACTAAAATACAAAGACTCAAATACAAGGTCTAACCTTGGTATTTGAGTGAATTTGATTTTTTTCCATTTTGCTGATTTTGAAATCAATAAATTTATCAAATCCAAATAAGATTTTTAAATCCACCAAAATACAAAAACCAATAACCCCTACTAAGTGATTATCTGGTTTGTTTTGTTGAAAAGGAGTTGTTTGAAAGTGTTACAAATGAAAAAGTGATAAAAAGATTTCAGATGATGAATGAGCGTAGAGTATTTCTGTAGGAGTTACTTTTTTGTTTTCATCATGTTTATTGGATTTTGTTGCGATTTTTAATATAACATTATTTTTTTTAATTTTGATCTTCTATCATGTTATATTTTGCCCACACTAATAATATTTTCTAGATCCCCACTGGTTGAGATTTCGATATTTACTTGCTGAAACCATTTCTATTATGATATATAGTTTATACAATACTTTAGAGATCGTTCCTACAATTTAGGATACATCACGAAAGAGTAAATATTTGAAATGATTCAGTACTGAGATTTTATTGAATTTTTCCTTGGATTTGAGATTTGGTTAAGATTTACAAGGTTATTATAGAATATAATTTTAATAGAATATCCAAGATTTGCGATCGTAATATTCATTTTCCTCAATTTGTATAACAGGTGAAGAAGATGGATGGCATAATTAATCCAAGATTTACGGAAGATAGGGGCGTTGAGATCCAATTATAAAGTTCCGCTACTTTAATATATTCAGAATGATCAAACCGATCAAAGTTATTAAACCGAGCAAGATTTTAGATCATTTGATTTAAGTGATTCAGATCCGCGAGTTTTGTTTTCGGTATCGGATCGGATCATGTTAGGGTAAGCGAGTTATTATTTGAATAATTCATTTTCTTTTCATTACAGTTTTAACAAATGATTTTGTTTAATTTTAATTAAAAATTTTTTAAATTATGAGATAATGACACATAAACCACTAATGCTTCATCACTATAAGAAAACAGACATTTTGCGACAACAAAGTACGACTACGACGATAGTCACAAAAATACACAACTATTTCACGACTATTTAGCAACAGATAATACGATTACAAATTTATAGTCGCAGTAGTTGCTAATTAGAGATTACGACATATAGTCGTAATATAGTCATATATTTACGACTGGTTTGCGACTAATCTATGGTTCTTTCTTAATCCATTGCTTTTGTACTTAAGACTGTCTTTGTATTGTACTGAAGACTTAATGTTTTGGTAACTCCACTGTTGGAGTTTTGATCTGTAGAAGTCAAAATTCTGTAGACTTAATATTTTTTTTTATATTTTGATAACTCCATTGTTGGAGTTTTGTTTATAGAAAATAGTTAATAACTGTATATATAAAAATTATTTTGCATTTTGTATATTACTTATTCTAAATTCGTTGATTGGAGTACCAAAACAATTACCGAATTCGTAGATTTGAATACCAAAAGAATTACCAAATACAAATTTTAAAAAACAAATAAGTCACTGCTTAGTCATATATTAGTCACTAAGAAGTTGCAAAATAGTGGTAAAATAGTGCTAAAAATTACCATTTTACATGTTCATACTGCGATTAGTCGCTAAATTGTCACTATAAAGTCGTTAACTTAGTCACTAAATAGTCGCATTTTAGTCTTACTTATGAAAACACATTAGTCGCAATATCATCGGCAAGTGGTCACTATGATAGCCGCATATTAGTTACTGCCTGTTGCGACTATTTTCCGACTAACTAGTGACCAGATATTGAACTCGCTTCTTAGTCGTAAGATAGTCGCAAATTTAAGACAAATATGCGACTGTTGAATTTTTCGACTAGGGATCGATGACTTCTCTTTTTAGTCGCTAAATAGTCGTAAATGTCAGATGTGCAAAGCGACTATTTTTGCAGTCATTAATTAACTGTTTTCTTGTAGTGCATGTTTAATATATGTTAGATATTAGCATTAGGCAGTTTTTAATTTAGAATTCTCCAATTCTCTACTTATTAATTGAGAACGTAGTTTAATAAAAAATACTGATTTTTTTTAATTTGATTGGTTAATATGTTTAGTTTAAGCAATTTTAATGTGACATGAAAATGATGATGTGTAATGAAGATGTAATTGTGACATGTCAGTTTTTAGTACTTATGGCTTGTGACATGACATTATTTAATTTATAAATAAATTTTGATGTTAAATTTTTGATACAAAATTGAAGTATGGAAAAAATATTTTTTTTGTCAAATAAATTTGAAATTACATTTCGACACAAAAATTTTGCCAAAAACATTATGGATTTCAAGTATTTAGCGGAAAATTTGTGGCAAAATATTTAGCCAGAAATTTTTTGATATCTCACGAAATTAAATTAAAATACTCTAAAATAAATGTTTTGGTGAGAAAGTTACAAATTCATATTTTTGGCGGAGAATTTATGAAATCGGATTTTCATGAAAGTTTTTTGAAATAAGTTTTTTTGATAGAAGATTTATGATTTCACTTATATGGCAGGAAATTCATGAAATCAAAATTTTGACTGGTAGTTTTTGGAATAACATTTTTAATGTAAAGTTTTTGGCGAATTTTGTTTTTATAGATACACTTTTTGGCAGAAAATTCACAAAATCAAAATTTTGATAAAATGTTTTTAGATCATATTTCTGGTGTAATTCTTTTGGTGCGAAGTTACTTATTCATGATTTTGGCATGAAATTTGTGAAATCTGTTTTTTGATGGAAATTTTTGAAATCTTATTTTAAGTAAGTTTTTAGCGAAATATTTACAAGTTCAATTATCTGTGTGAAATTTTGCGGCATCAGATTTTTAGGAGAATTTCTTCACTTTTATTATCATCTTATTTTGTCTTACTATAAATAAAGATCAAAAGTTTATATATATGTGAATATATTTCAATTATATAGTGAGAATTGCCAACTACAAATAGGACGTAAAGTGATGAAAATATAAAAAGAGGAAAATATATATATGTAAAAAAGTAGAAAACAACAAAAAACGAAGAATCATTTTATTTTATTTTATGATTTTTTAAAAATATTTTAAGTTTTGTGTATGTTTTATTTTATACTATGATCCAGTTTCTCAATTCTATTAAAATATTTTTTCACAAACAAAATTTTTTTACAAATATATTACCAAACAGGCAATCATTTATTTATTATTAATAATTAATTTTTTATAAAATTTTCATGCCCGCACATAGGTGCAGGCCAACTATCTAGTTGCACTTATTAACCCAACTAGGTAATAACTCATAGAATAAGAAACTTAGATTTCATTCATGTGTATATGGAATACCAAATATTCCAGTAACCATATTACCGTTGTAACTTTATTAACACTTTCTCAATATACAACTCAATCATCAATTGAGATTCATATCAAATTAGATGGTATTCTCTCATAGACGTCTTCCTCATCTTTCTCTCTTCTCTCTCTCGTCCCTTTACTATTTTTCTTTGTCTACTTCCTCCTCTGTCTTTGTTAGCCTGTTTCAATCCATCTCATTTTTCTCCATCTCTACTCGTTATTTTTGTATATGATGAGGCGTGATAGAGTGACATTCTTTTCAATAATGAGGCGTGATGGAGTGACATTCTAGTTGATGATGAAGCGAGATAAAAAAGCTAGGAGCAAGAAGAAAACAAATTGTTTTGAATAAACTTTATGGGTAAAGAATAACAAAAAGAAAGGGATGAAAGAAGAAGAAAAATACATGTCTTTAGCCAAATAATATAAACTTTTTTTTGTTATAAAACTTTATGTTTCAAAAGAGATTTATATCTATTCATCATTTGAGTAATTTATATTTATTTTTAAAAAATCGAATTATAATATGTATGAAAACATCTACATTTATACTCATATTTATGTTAAAATGTTTATATTATTTTGTTAATTTGTATAGCTTTATTTTTAAAAACTATATTTAGCCAAAAACTACTTATAAATATGGATGTATAAATTAATCTTCTTGCTCTTATAATTTGTTTTTTTGTATATTCTTTTATAATGTTTTTGAACTACCTATACTTTTTTATATTTAATGTGGGCTTTTCAAAATATACTCATATTTATTGACTATTTGAGTTATTTATATATATATTTTTAAAAAATTGAATAATAACACATGTATAAAAAATATATATTTTGTTTACTATATCTCTCTCTCGTCTTTGGTTTTTTTACCTTACTCAAAAAATAAATCAAGAAACAGTTTGTTACGGATACATACAACTGGGTTTTAATTTTCCTGGCAAACTCAGTAATCAGAGCAGAAGAAATATTATGGGATGATTGAGTTTTGAGGTTCTTGTTTGTATTGCCGTCTTGTTGAACCTTAATACTGGATACAAGGTTGAGAATTAAGTAGAAACAATACACAGTTTATCTATTTAATTTAATTTTAAGATTTCAGCATCTGGTAAATCTCTTGGCATTAAAAAGTATGGTATAAAACTAACTTTTATGTCTAGCGATAAAACAATTTTTGTTTTTGTGTGTGTGTAACATTTGGCTTTCATTAAATTCGTTCTGAACGGAATTGAAATTCTTCGCTACAGAGTTCGTCCGACGATTGGCTTTTCTTAAAATATAAACAGCTGAAAGATCAGCGAAAGAAAGAGACAGATTGAGGATGTCGTGTTAAATCCCATAGAGCTTCTTTGTGTGAGATTCCTTGTTGATTGCTTTTGATTAGCTGCTGTAATCTGAAGCGGCTGAAAGTTTCCTGACTTTGAGCTCTCTTGCATGTTGAATCGCAAGTAAGGGAGCCGATGCTTCCGCCATAAGTGCTGATTTGATGTTGCTTGCCGTTGCCGAGGATTGGGTAAGTGTTCTTCCTTCTTGGTTTGTAAAGATCCTTCTAAATCCTGCTCTTTTTATATCTGATCTCCATGCTGCATATGAATTGCATCGTATCACATCTAAGCTTAATCTTTGCTGATTACGATCTGCAGGGTTAGGGATATGGACTTTCCTCTGTTGATTTTATGCTTGAGCTCCTTGCCATTCTCTCGCGTTATGGATTACTACTGTAGGTGTTTCCTTTAGATTCAGGTTACGATTGTTGAAGATGGTCTGGTTACAGGAGATCCAGATCGACTGGATGATCCATGGGGATATTGGACCATCTCCCGCTCCTGTTGAGGTAAGACAGGTAAGATCCTTTGTTATATCTAGGCCCCTTCTCACACTTGTGATCCGCCTTGAATCAAATTAATGTGTAATTGGGATTTGATTCCAAACATTGACTGCAATTGTGCAATACCATAATGTGGGCATCTTATGGAGGTATTCACATTCCTTGCTATTAAGTTTTCTTCCACTGGTAACGCATTTCTCATAGTTTTCCAAAGAAGCAGTTTTGTCTTCGGAGATGTTTTGGCTTTCCAGATTACCGAGTTCCAGTTGAAATCTCGGATGAGGGGATCTAGTGCTTGAGTAGACATGGTCTCCTCATCTTGTTTTAGGGCTTTATAATATTTTGATTTGGCTGAGTAGATTCCCGATTCTTATGGTAGCCAAACCCATTTGTCTGATGCGCCTAGTTTACTTTGTTTAAGTTGTAGAATTGCTTCTTGATACTCAGAAAGAATAGCTTGTATTTGTTCCTTACTCTCCTCTTTAGTGTTCTCAGAGATGAGGTCTACCACTAATGCATCATTTGTTGCCTCAGGAGGAGGCCCCATTGGTCGACAATGTTGGATATTTAAGTGAATTCGTGCAACCTTTGACGAACTGTTCCAACTGCTTAAATGAACATTTGCAACCATTTAAATGAATTATTGTAATTTTTGGGTTTATGGTTACAACCTTCGGTAACTAACTATTGCAACTGTTGAGTTTATGGTTACAATCTTCGATGACTAACCATTGCAACTGTTGGCGATCAACCATTGCAACCCAATCAACCATTGTAACCTTTTGAAGTGAGCTTTGGTTTCCTATATAAGGATTTGTGGGCATTGCCAAAATCACAACAACAAAAACAGAAAACAAGTAGAAACAGAGAAAATAGGACAGTAAGAAAGAGAGAGTTTCACAGTTTCAAAATATCATAAATTTTTTTTGGAAAAACATATATCAACACTAGAACTCTAGTGTGTCTCTTGTATCTTAGCCTAGAACAAGAGAAACTTTTGGTTGTCTTATCCTACAAGGGATTTCTTGTAACCCAAGACTTGATAAGGGTCACAATACTCTTTAAGGAAAAGTATCCTCGTGCGCGATTCAATCATTATCCAAGTTCACAATTCATCATTCGGGTTACCAGAATCCAACAATATTAAAGAGTAATTTCTTGTGAACTATGACTAGTGTGTCTGTGCGAGAGATGACATCCAAGTTTGGAAAACTGGATAAGTTTGAGGGAGTAGATTTTCGAAGATGATAAAAGAAGATGCATTTCCTTTTGACAACGCTTAACGTAGTGTATGTTCTAAGCATGCCAATGCCTACTGTGCCCGAGGATGCTGAGAACGAGTCTGTGAAGGAGACAAGGAAGCTACTTAAATGGCAAAATGACTATTACATATGCCGTGGCCACATTCTAAACGAATGACTTGATTAAGAAATTACGCAGTGATAGAGGTGGAGAGTATTATGATCCTGCATATTTCCAGTATGTAGTAATCATACATGAAACTACAGCTCCTTATACACCACAACAAAATGGTGTATCAGAGAGGAAAAATAGAGTTCTAAAGGAAATGGTTAATTCCATGTTATCCTACTCAGGATTGAGTGACGGATTTTGGGGTGAAGCTATGTTAACAGCTTGTTATTTATTAAATAGGGTTCCTAACAAAAGGAACAACCTTACCCCTTATGAACTTTGGTATAAGAAGAAACCAAACTTGAACTACCTTCGAGTTTGGGGATGTAGGGCTGTAGTTAGACTACCTCAACCCAAGATTAAAACATTGGGAGAAAGAGGCATTGATTGCATCTTTATTGGATATGTTGAGCATTCAAAAGCTTTTAGATTCTATGTCATAGAACCTAATGATTTTGTATCGGTTCACACCATAATTGAATCAAGAGATGACATCAAATCGTTTTTCATCCATATCCATGCCAAAAATTTTGGTTCCTAGTTCAAATGGAACTAAAGAAGGAGATGAAACATTTATGCCTTCTAAATGTCACATATACTTCGTAGGAGCAAGCGAGGGAGGATTGAAAAATCTTTCAGTCCTGATTTTCAAATTTATTTAGTTGAAGGGTCAAGAGATGAGATTAGATTCCAATACTCATACTGCTATCATATTGATAATAATCCTAGGACTTATGGTGAGGCTATGAAGTCTCATGACGTTGCATTCTGGAAAGAAGCAATAAATGATGAAATGGACTCCACCATGGGAAATAATACGTGGGTCTTATCAGATCTCCCACCTGGTTGCAAGCCTTTGGGCTGTAAGTTGATCTTCAAAAAGAAGATGAAAGTCGATGAGACTATTGACAAGTTTAAAGCTCGATTGGTTATCTAAGGCTTTAAACAAAAGAAAGGTATTTATTATTTTGATACATATGCTCCAGTTGATAGGATCTCTTCTATAAGGTTATTGATTGCTTTGACAACTATTAATAATCTTGTGATTCTTAAATGGATGTCAAGATAGCGTTCTTGAATGGCATTTTGGAAGAGGAGGTGTATATGAAGCAACCTGAAGGTTTTACTATGCCTGGTAATGAGCATAAGGTGTGTAAGCTGATAAAGTCATTGTATGGGCTAAAGCAGGCACCTAAGAAATGGCATCAAAGGTTTGATGAGATTGTCTTATCAAGTGGATTAAAGTTAAATCAGTCGGATAAGTGTTTATATTGCAAATTTGATGAGTCTAGTAATGGAGTAATCATTTGCTTGTATGTTGATGACATGCTGATCTTTGGCACTGACCTTAAACAAGTAGAGCTTACAAAAGCATTTTTATCATCAAGTTTTGCCATGAAAGACATGGGTGAGGCAGATGTGATTCTTGGAATTCGAATCAAGTGTGATGGCAAAAAACTATCTTTGACACAATCTCATTACATTGAAAAAGTGCTTAAGAAGTTTAATTGTGAGAATTGTTCTCCAATGAGCACTCCCATGGATGCGAGTGTGAAGCTTATGCCTAATATGGGACAAGCAGTGTCAAAACTCGAGTATTCACAAGTAATTGGCTGCTTAATGTATGCCATAACGAGCACTAGGCCAAATATAGCTTATGATGTAGGGAGGTTGAGTAGATACACTAGTAATCCTAGTACTCAACATTGGCAAGCCTTAAGACGGGTGCTTAAGTACTTGAAAGGAACCATAAATTATGGTTTGTCTTATGATGGATTTCCTTTGGTTCCAGAAGGGTATTCAAATGCAAGTTGGATCAACAACGTGGAAGATCATTCTTCTACAAGTGGTTGGGTGTTTTTGCTTGGGGGAGGTGCCATTTCATGGGCTTCTAAAAAGAAAACTTGCATTACAATTTGACTATGGAATCAGAATTTGTAGCATTGGCAGCTTCTGGTAAAGAGGCAGAATGGCTAAGAAATTTAGTTTACGAGATTCTATTGCGGCCGAGACCAGTATCACCGATATCTATTCATTGTGATAGTCAAGTTACATTGGCCAAGGCATATAACCAAGTGTTTAATGGTAAGTCGCAACACATAGGTGTTAGATATAGCGCGATACGTGAGCTGATCACTCATGGGGTGATTACAATCAAATTTGTTCGGTCTCAACAAATTTAGCGGATCACTTGACAAAAGGACTGGCTAGGGACTTAGTAATTAAGTCGGCTAAAGGGATGGGGTTAAAGTCCATTTGAAATCTTTAGTGATGGGATACCCAATTATCCTCTGATACGACGTTAGAGGCTGAAGTCAATGTGGAAAGCCCACACTTAAAGATTGAAGCACATGTTCATATCATCCCAAAGTATGTGCTTGGACCTGCAAAAAAGAGATAGGTTGATGTTTTCTTCTTAATAGATATTTTGAACAAATGTATTTTGCAGGTGCACAATTAAAATATTTACCTATATGAGTGTGAAGTGCAGCCGCTTGAAGAAGCTAGGACTTGGCTTTGTATGCGCTCATGAATCGATAGGGACACATGGCTTATAATAGTGTCAAGTATATACACTTAGAGTTGTCTAGAAATTTGTGTGTGTATTATCTTCATGTGCCCAAATGAGTTGAGAGGATTCAATCCATAGGACATCCTGCTTCTCGGGCATTTGGAATGTGTAATAACACTAAGATGAAAATTCAATTGCTACAATATTTTTATTTATGCATAAGTTTGGATATGTGTTATTTATTTAGTGAATCTATGATTACACTTAAATGGGGGAGGAATGATGGATATTTTAAGTGAATCCGTGCAACCATTAACGAACTGTTGCAACTGCTAAAATGAACATTTACAACCATTTAAATGAATCATTGCAATTGTTGGGTTTATGGTTACAACCTTCGGTAACTAACTATTGCAACTGTTGAGTTTATGGTTACAATCTTCGATGACTAACCATTGCAACTGCTGGCGATCAACCATTGCAATCTGATCAACCATTATAACCTTTTGAAGTGAGCTTTGGTTTTCTATATAAGGAGTTGTGGACATTGCCAAAATTACAACAAAAACAGAAAGCAAGTAGAAACAGAGAAAATAAGACAATAAGAAAGAGAGAGTTTCACTGTTCGAAAAGATCATAAAAAGATCTTTGGAAAAACACATATCAACACTAGAACTCTAGTGTGTCTCTTGTATCTTAGCCTAGAATAAGAGAAACTTTTGGTTGTCTTACCCTACAAGGGATTTCGTGTAACCCAAAGCTTGATAAGGGTCGAAATACTCTTTAAGGAAAGTGTCCTCGTGCGCGATACAATCATTATTCAAGTTCACAATTTATCATTTGGGTTACCAGAATCCAACAGACAATGCTGTTCCAGAGATAGCTATGGTTCCTACCAGAAGAATGTTGATTTCCCATCCTCAATAGCTCTTCCTAGCTGAGATTTTTCAGTAGATTTTTGCCAATGCAAATTCCACGCCATCTATGTGATGCTGAGTTTGGAGCTTCACTCTCTAGAAAGGTTGAGAAAGGTCGATAAGACAATTTTGTGTTAGATATTACTGCGTTGAGTCTCTAACGAGTGACGAAAGAAATTAGAGAAAGCAAATTCCATGGAAATCTGGACACAACTGATCCTTGTAACCGTAATAGATCTTATGTTTGTTAATGATTCAAAGAATAGTCCTTGAAGGTTACTGATTTCGTAGCACAACTGATCCTTGAAGGTTGCTGATTTCGTAGAATATCCATATTCAAGAGAGAAAGAAAAAAAAGTTCCTAAATTGAGTCAATATGAAAAACACCCTCCATCCTCTTAACGAAACGAATGAATGCTTGAAATATCAACACATGGACAATAACATTAAAAAGAAAAAAAGAAAAAAAAAACATGGACAAATGAGGGAAAGCGGGAAACTCATAAACAAACCTGGGTTTAAACGTAGTCGAATAGATTTCACAGTTAAGGTTTGAGAGTTTTCTCCTAGAGTTTTGCAAAAAAAAGCTACATTTGAATTTCCATTTTTTAGTTTTTTTATTAATTTATTAAATAAAACAAAGACTCAATAAAAACAGACAAAGAAGAAAAGACGCAAAAGCCAGATAACTTGTTGAACACAAAGTCGTGTTTAACACGTTAAGCCTAGCCCAAATACTTCAAAACAAGAAGAGAAATAAGTTTTTTTTTCTTTTTTTTTTTTTAAATTTGGTGCTTAAACCAGCTAAAATAAACAACACCGATAATACAAAGCCAAAAGAATAATGAAAGATAAGGATGACGCGGTGCATCATGTGCGCTGAAGCAGCCCGCCGGAAAGTCCACTCGGTGCCGGCGACGTTTATCAGCAACGAACGCCATGAATGTAGCAGACATGAAGAATACTATCATCACTGGGAATATGAGGATGTACGCGATAGCTAACATAATACGGACTGTGCTATAAGTGCCAATTGGATTCGGGAATATAGTGCTGTACGATGCTAACATACCGATACTTAAAGCCGCTGTTGAGCCATAGATTAATTGCCACTTGGGGAGTCCAATTATGAGAACCATGATCACATATAGAGATGATAAGAAGGCAACCCCGTTGAGGATGTTAAAATGTACGGCATTGGAGAAGTCCATAGTCATCTCCCCAGCTTTGTGATCATCTCTAATCTCCTGCCAAAATCCGCCGGGAGGACTGAGACCAGCCTGGTATGTAGCTGTTACTATCAATATAGCCACCACAAGTATGGCATCATGGCGGTTGCTAGTGTTTAGAGACATGTCGCTACTCATGGTCAAATTTCTCATCCCCAAGAGTTTGTTCCGTTTCTCAATAAACGATAGCTTTTTGGTCAAATATTCCCCAAGAGTTGTTGTGGAACGACAAATGAGTTTTTCTTTAACACTGTGGAGAAAGGTTCTTGCTTCAGGGAAAGAAAGAGACTGGTGAGTTTGAAATATGTCCATCGCGGTTTTGCCATCCAAGTTCTTGGCTTTTACTTTAACGACTTTACCCAGCAACTTCATGACCTGCAAAGAACCGAGCACGCCTCACACATGATTCTAGGGTGAAGAATCCTACATTGACAAGAATATGAGACAAACATTTATGTATACTAAGGTCATAGAAACCCATGCACTTTTGGAAGAACTAAATCAAACAAAGCAACTAGCAAAGTCGCAGATGTTAGTTAAGAAGCAGCTCCAAGCAATGTTAGTTAAGAAGCAGCTCCAAGCAAGTACTAGAGCCAAAAAAAAAATAATTGCAAGATGGCATGAGTATAGAAGGATCTACAAGATCCATAATATTATTAGTATATATTGAATAGTTATTATATAGATATTCTGATGATTTGTATCTATCTACTTTAGGCAATATCCTTAATATAAATATGTATGTATTCTCATGAGAGTCAATATAATATTCTTCTAATCATAAACTCTCATCACATCTAATAATGAGAGCATAGCTATCCATTTTCAACGACCAATTAGAATTTTGGGGAAAAGGAGAAAACTAAACGATAAGAAAGACATTTACCTCAGTCTGATTAATGGATGCAGCATTATGGAAGGCTGTGTTACCATCTTCATCCTTCAAGTCCAAGATTTCCTCTTTGTTTACTCTCTTGATCCATCCCAATAGAACCTTAAATGCCTTAAGCTGGCCGTTCTTCACAGCAACATGCACAGCTGTCTCACACTTAACCGTCAAATCGTTTAATGAAGACGGACAAGCAAACAAGAACTCGCTCAACAACTCGGCTTCACCTACTCGAGCCACATGATGCAAAGGAGTAATCCTTCCTCTTCCCTTGATGCTGACTAAGCTGCTGTCGATTGCCACAAAACCTCTCACCATTCGAATGTGGTTGTGTTGCAGGGCTAAATGCATTGGACTAAAACCTGACGCGTTTAGCTTGGAAGCAAGTGACGGTTTAAGAGTCATTAATTTCATGGCAAAATGAGTTTGCCCCTTTTCAGCTGCAATATGTAATGGCGTCTCACAAAAGGGCACTTTATCAAAATGTCCTAGAATGTTTGGATCTTCTGCAATCAACTTGTAGAGTGTTTCTGTATCCCCATATCGAGCCGCGTTCTTCAATCTCGTGTAGATATTAGTACTCGAACTCCCACTCAAGTTTGCATCTTGAGCTACCATATCCGATACTCTAATGACATCCACAACAATCGACATAGCTTCTCTAGTCCCCAAGCTTTTGCTCCTTCCACAGTTTTTTATTTTATTTTGTGGCTCCTGCACTACATGTTTAAATAAACACAAAGTCTGGACGGTGACCATATCTATTTCTGACAATAATATGTCAAATTGATGAATTAATGTCATTTTAAAATGAGTAATGGAGATTTTAAAAATTAAAAATTTAGTTAGTTTCCACATAAGAATATGGATAAATGCATGTCATGTCCCACATTGGATTAGAGAGCCAACAAAACAATGGCTTTTTTGGAGAAAATTCTTCTTAAATCCTATCACTTTCTTTATTCCATATGAAATACTTTTTATTTTGTGGTTAACTAAAATCTGGATGACGACCATTTATTTCTAGTAATATTATGGCAACTAGATCGATTAATGACATTTCAAAATGAGCGATGATGATTTCGCAAACTAACAGCTTGACTGGTATGTCAATTTAATAGAAGAATAGTAGAATAGCTGAATAATAAACTAGCGGAATCACTAGAATGAGTAAACTGAAAACTGAATAAACTTAAAACGCTAAAAAGCTAGTATCTATTAGATGAATAAATTTTCTTCTAAACTAGTTATAAATTTAAAATGTGTGAGATGGTTTAAAAAATAGCGTCTTGCTTTTCATTTTTTTATCATTCAGTGCCTAATATTGTGAATGGTATATATTTAATGGAATCACGTTTTCAAAACATGAAAACGTGAAAAAATTACATACCATTGAATCCCCAAATTTTTAGTAAGTTTTCACATTTTAATGTGGGTAAATGCATATCCCACATTGGATTGGAGAGGCAACAAAACAATGGCATTTTCTATAACATTATACACAAAAACCACTATTTTTCATATTTAATACTTCTTATTCGAGGTCAACTAAAACATGGACGACGATCATCTATTTCTAGCAATAATATGGCAATTAGTGTTAAGTTACATGGACTTCCAATCTAAAACCAATTGGCAGCCAGTGGATTGACCCATGCTTCTTATATATTAGTTAGGATCCCTTCCAACTTCCGATGTAGGATATTATCCCTAATACGCCCTCTCGAGACGATGGCTACTTTGGCCATTGATCTCGGTAATGTTTGGGCAAGGATTGACGGACCATCTTTGGATCACATATCGATTATGGATCGGGTTGGATTGTTTGGATCGGACTCTGATACCATGTTAAGTTACATGGGCTTCCAACCTAAAATCAATTGGCAGTAAGTGAATTGATCCATGCTCCTTATATATTAGTTAGGATCCCTTCCAACTTCCGATGTGGGATATTATCCCTAATAATTGGATGGAATAGTTTTCCAGAGTGATTAGGGTTTCGCAAATTAATTTAATAGTAAATTTCATATTAGAATATGGATAAATGCATGTCCCACATTGGATTGGAGAGAGAACAAAAACATTGGCTTTGAAGAAAATTCTACGCAATTCCTATTATTTCCCTTATTCTAATCTAAAACTGTTAATTTTCTCCTATATATTAATGGGAAATTAAAAAGCATTTTTATAAATTTTTTTTTAATAATTACAGTGATACTATTTATTGATGTATCACCATTATAAAGTTTTTAAACTTTTTTTCGAAAAAAACTCATTTAGTACAATAATTAATTATAATTATATTTTTATATTAGATTAATATTTAATATAATATATATTATTCTAATATCAACTTTTAAATACTATATTTTGTGTTTGACTAATATTTAATATAAATATTTGTTATTCGAATATTAATTTTTCGATGTAAAATATTCTATCAATCATCCAAACTATAATGTGTAATATTTGATCAATTCATTTTATAGGCAAATATATGATACAATTTGTTTTAAACAATCGTTAGAGGGGAAATAAGTACATTTAGTAAAAAGTTTTCTCTATTAATAATTTAAGCCCATCAAATTTTAGGAGATCGCACCGATGTAACCAAAAAAGGAAATCCCTCGAAGATAATTTGCAAATTCCAGAAGAGAATTCTCATATTCATCGGAGAATAAGAGATATTTCTATATCGCTAAAATAAAAATATTCACCAGGAAAAGGAGTTCAGAGCAACCGACCTCCTATTCCTCTAAATAAGAAAACCTCGGAAGCCCAGAAAAAACAACCCATACAATCTAGAGAGCAGCAGAACCAATACAAAAGAACTCCAAGCTTTCTAATTTAGAGCATTAATACTTTCTTTTCACTTCGGCATGATATCTCGGTTAAGCCATCTCCTGTAATCGCTTCGCCTTTGAGCTATTAATAAAGATCTTATTCTCCGAAACCCACAACTGTTAATCAAATCCCTAGTGGTGATTTTCTGGTTCAACAATAAGCGTCGTTTGTTGGGACTAGGAGAATTTTCTTTTTAAAAACTACCAAGAGAAGACCCGAAGCGATGAGTCTTCCATCCGATAACAGCGACTTCACCCTCAACATAGGAGATACTACCATGCGTACTGGCACGTCCGCCCTTGACGAGCACGACAATCATTGCAATTCCACTACCCACAGGAAAACACACGATATTCGATGACTGCTACATGATCATAGGTGGAGTACTCAACGACCCCAGCTCGCTTAAAGATATTAAGCAACATGAAGAAAAAGCAGCATAAGCAAAGCACAATCCAACCATCCCGCTGAACGAAGCACAAGTGGACTTTGCGGCTGAAGACCTACGAAGCTCCCACACGTAGCACATCGACACATTGGTCATAACATTGCAAATTCACGAGAGCACAGTCACCAAAGCTTTGGTCGACAGTGGCAGCACCGTCAACATTATCTTTAAAGATACGTTGGCAAGAATGAGCGTGGACAAAGGCGAGATAATGACAACGACAGAGCCATTAACTGTATTCACAGGAAATACCTCCTATAGCATCGGATCAATACGATTACTCACCTACATCGGCAACATAACCAAAAAAGTAAAGTTTGCAGTTATCGACTGTTCAACTATCTACAACGTCATACTCAGAACTCTGTGGATCCACAGTATGAAGGCCGTAATTTCAGCCTATCATCAATGCATCAAATTCCCGACACCCACCGGCGTATTCACCCTGCAAGGCGATCAGTCAACAGCAAGAATATGCCTCCTTAGCGAAAGAAAGATCAGGACAGCAACTGCGTCCATGGTGAATGAGGACCTAGACCCACACGCTCCTTATCACAAAAGACCAAAGCCTAAGCGGGTTATACAGGTAAGCATTGACGAGAAACACCCCGAAAGAACTGTCAGCATCGGCGGTGACCTCGCAGAAGATACTAAAACGGAGCTCGTCAAACTTTTGAGAAACAACGTACACTTATTCGCTTGGTCTATGGAAGACATGAAGGGAATCGACACCAAAATCATGTCGCATAAGCTAAACATAGACCCGACATTCAAACCAATTAAGCCAAAACAAAGGAAGCTCGGCCCCGAAAAAGCCCAAGCAGTAACTGATGAAGTGGAAAAACTACTCGGAGCTGGATCAATTACCGAAGTTCAATACCCCGACGGGCTAGCCAACCCCCTTGTCATAGAAAAGAAGAACGATAAATGGAGATTCTGCGTTGACTTTACCGATCTTAACAAAGCATGTGCAAAGGATTGCTTTCCGCTCCCACATATCGACCGACTTGTCAAATCAACAGCTGGGAATCAGCTACTATCCTTCATGGACGCCTTCTCCGGGTATAATCAAATCTTCGTGCACCCCAAAGACACAGAAAATACGGCATTCATCACTGACCGCGGAACGTATTGCTACAAAGTCATGCCTTTCGGACTAAAAAAATGCAGGAGCCACCTACCAATGATTAGTCAACAAGATGTTTGTGAGTCACCTCGGCCGCACTATGGAGGTTTATATTGACGACATGCTTGTAAAATTCGCGGTCGCTAAGGATCACGTCGGCCACCTCAAGGATTGCTTTAAAACCCTCGAGAAGTACGGAATGAAATTAAATCCAGCTAAATGCACATTCGGGGTAACTTCAGGAGAATTTCGAGGTTACGTCATCACCCAGAGAGGAATGGAAGCAAACCCGAAACAAATCTTGGCGATATTAGATCTCCCATCACCCAAAAATACACGCGAAGTGCAGCAATTAATGGGCAGAATTGCCGCGTTAAACAGATTCATCTCACGCTCTACGGACAAATGTCTCCCCTTTTATCAACTACTTCGGAGTAATAAACGCTTTGACTGGGACGACAAATGCGAGGAGGCTTTCACGCAACAAAAGGAGTATTTGACCACCCCACCAATATTAGCAAAACCAGAGGACGGCGAAACACTATATCTTTACATCACCGTCTCAACGGTGGCAGTAAGCGGCTTTCTAGTCATAGTAGATCGTGGCGAGCAAAAATCTATCTTCTGTATAACCAAAATCCTGGATGGAGTCGAAACTCGTTATCCGGCCCTAGAAAAACTCGCTTATACAGTAATTATCTTGGCACGGAAATTACAACCCTACTTCCAGTCTCATGCCATTATCATCTTCACTAGTCAACCGCTTCAGAGCATTCTGCACAGTCCTAGTCAGTCCGGCGGAATGGCTAAATGGGCAATAGAACTGTCTGAGTATGACATTGAATATCGAGCTCGCACTAGCGCTACTCAAGTTTTAGCAGAATTTATGATCAAAATACCACCAGATCTACTGATTGACGAAACACCCACAAAAAACCGATGGAACCTGTATGTCGATGGTACGTCCTCAAAGCAAGGAGCAGGAGTCGGCATCTGTTTAAAATCGCCAACGGGAGAAATCCTTGTACAATCATTCAAACTCGGCTTTTCTGTCTCAAACAACAAAGGTGAGTACGAAGCACTGCTCGCAGGAATTCGTCTCGCTAAAGAAGTAGGAGCGGAAAATATTCACGCTTTTTGCGATTCTCAACTCGTAGCCAGCCAATTTAAAGTAGATTACGATGCCAAAAACGAACGAATGGATGTTTACCTAAAGCAAGTCCAGAAAATAACAAAGCAATTTGACTCTTTCGAACTGACAAAAATACCGCGAACTGAGAACACCACCGCCGACGCGTTAGC